TATATATATATATATATGTATTTATTTTAAGTTGATGTATAGTTGGCCGCCAGTGCTGCCCACATTTTGATTTTGCTCTAAATCTTAACTGTCCTTGGCCAAACCAACCATATATGAAAAAGATGACTTTTTGTTCTCCCTCCACACTCTGATAATTCAGTAAGATGCATGTACATGTGCCAGAGCCCAAGTCTCCCTGTTGAGACAAACAGATAAGGGACATAACCCAAGACCTGATTCAACTAAGGCCAGGTGAAAGGAGCCTTGTGGGAAACTCGAGTGCAGGAGAAGAAGACCTGATTGAACCCTGGCGATGGAAAGTCTGGCACACTTGTGTTCTTCTGCGTCTTCTGCCCCGGATGTCAGCCCTCCCAGAGGCTGGGAGATCTAGGCTCTAAATCTGAGTGCTTCCTTGGCGTCTCTGCCCTGTCCTCTTGTGAGGGCTTTTCTCTACTCCTGCTAATAAACCGCACCCTGCCCGCTCCCCACTGCTTGCCGTTTCCAGCCATCCCATGGCCTCAGTCTTCATCGCCCTCAGTACAAGAACCCACCCAGAGAGCGCTGGTTACAGCTTCCCTAGGCTGAGGCCCAAGGCTCTTTCACAGGCCATGGAAACTGTTAGCCCACGTAATGGAATGCCTGTCTCACCGCCACCTCCCCCCTCCCCCACCTTCCCCAGTCTCCTGCCAGCCGTCTCTGCCCTCAGTCAGAAGACTGACCCCTGGACAACAGGGTGTAGCCCTCGGAGCATAAGGCTAATTTTGTCATCAAGGTGCATGAACGTGGGTCTGTCAGACCCACATTTATACTTTAGAATATTGCTATTGATGAATTACTAATTTTAATTTTAGGAGTTTTATTATATTAAACAATGAGTACTTAATGGGAAAAAAAATCGCAAAAATAAAGGAGTGAGTTTTCAATATTTGCTGAGTATTTATAAAAAAGCATCAAGATTTTCAACATTGTTTTTTGGTGTCTAAAAAAGAGCATCAGAAATACACTCCCATACGAACTACAATGAAAATATCAATAGCACTCTGCAAAAAAAATCTTTAATTATCACACTAAGGCAGTCTACATGCATGACAACAGCACATTCCATACACACATCACTTACACTAACAGCGCAATGTCTTTTGCTTTCCTGGCCTTTTTGTAGGACATATCTGACATCTCAGTGGTCTTGCTACTTTTTTGGGAGGTTCTCATTATATAGTGTATAGTTAACAGGAACATAAACTATCAACAATATAAATTGTTAAATTCTTTACAATGAACATCAACATTTTCACATCAGCTGCATACTTCCTTATAAAACCTAAGAGATAACATCAGAAATAAATTCCAGTATCAATTCCTACATGAAAACACCAATAGAACTCTACCACAAAAATTAGCTTTGCTTCAACTGTCACACCCAAGGCAGTCTTTTTTTTTTTTTTTTTTCAGTACTGGGGATCAAACTCATGACCTTGCACTTGCCAGGCAGGTGCTTATGCCACTGGGCTATATCCCCAGGCCCCAAGGCAGTCTTCACACATGACAATTGCATGTTCCATGCACACATCTTGCTTGCACTGACAGCATGTGTACTTAAGTTTCCTTTCCTATTTGGCAGTTTTGTCTCCTCTCTTCTCTTCCTGTTTTGTCAGGAGCTTCCTACTGTATTATACAACATGTACTTAACAGGGAAATAAAATGTCAGTAAAATACAATATCAAATATGTAGTGAGTACTTAAAAGAGATATCAGCATTTTCACATGAGCTGTTTACTTACTTACACAATGTAAAAAGTAACATCAAAAATAAAAACCTATGTGAACTACAGTGTAAACACAAACAAAAGTCTACCACAGAAATAAGGTTTGCTTCAACTGTCACACCAAAGGCAGTCTTCACACATGACAACTGCATGTTCCCCACACAAGTATTGCTTCCAATGGCAGTACATATTTTGTTTTCCTGTACTTTCTTGTAGGACACAGGTGACATCTTTTTCATTTTCCTGTTGTCATAATAGGTCTTTGTGATGTTGCACCTGCCTGTTCACCTGTCACCTCACCAGTGTGCTCCATAATTTTTTTGCATAGTTCTATGGGCAGAAGTATTTTGTTTTTCCTCTGCTATAAATGATCTCTTATGGGCTCCAGTCCCAATCCTCTAAGAAAATTTCTCCACAATATTTTGTACTCGTTATATTCTTTGTAAACTATCAAACTATGCCACACACTATATTTTCAGACCTAATTCTAACATTAGATCACTGTATTTAGTTGCGTGGCCATTTTACAACATTTTGACTAGTCAAATATATACTCACATTGCTGTTTTCTTCACCATTGGAATCAAGGAGGTCTGCATTCCTTGCATCTATATCAGGAACTTTGGCTTACATGGCCAGTATCAAAGACGTCATCATCATCCTCATTCACCCATACCATCCTTCTATTATGAAAGCATGTATGTTATTTTAAAGAGAGTAGTAAAAAAAAAAAAAAGAACAATAGCAGCATACCAGTATCACAGACATAAAACAAAACAAAAACATTCAAAGTGAAACAGAGTTTTAAAACAAAATTATAGGAATTAACAGTGGTTGTTAGTCTGGTGTGCTGGTGCATGCCTGTAATCCCAGCACTTGGGAGGCTGAGGCAGGAAGATTGTTGTGAGTTCGAGGCCAGCCTGCACTACAAAGTGAGCTCAAGGCCAGCCTGAACTGCATAGTGAGACCCTGTCTTAAAAAGACAAAAAAAAATTTTATTTAAAAAAATAAAACAGTGGTTGTTATATTACCTAGTGTTATCTTCAACTACATTGCTCAGATTACCAGACATAAGAATGGATGATTGTTCAAACCATTAAAGAGAATAAAAAGTAATTATTAAATAAAACATTAGAGATAATACAGAGTTAAACTAGACAAGATGGTAGGAATTCAACAATTGCATATTGTTGTCTTCAAAGCAGTTTCTCAGATTACCAGATATAAGCATGCAAAATTGGTCATAATATAAAAAATTTTAAGCATTAACTGTTCCTTTCAATGTACCATCAGACATCAGCAGTACAGTTATCCCAGCTATTCATATATATATATATATATTATTTTGCTTCTTTCTTTCTTTTTTCTTCTTTGCCTCATCCCAACTGTTCCTCCCTTTGAGCAGTTTCTTTCCCTTTCATATCATCTATTGTAGGTTTTGAATTTTAGTTACTCTTTCAGGTTCCTACACCAGGGAGACAATATGATGTTTACACATGTGAGTTGATTTATTTCACTTATAAGTAGTTGCATCCATTTACCTACAAAAGCCTTGAGTTTATCTTTTTTTATAGCAGAGTAATGCTCCATTGTATAAAAATATCACATCTTTTTTATCTGTTCCTCGTTGGATGGGTATTTTGGTTGTTTCCAAGATTTAGCTATGACAAATTATGCTGTTATACACATGGGTGCACATATATCACTGTGGTTTGATGTTTTTAATTCTTCTGGGAAAATACCCAGAAGGGAATAGCTGGGTTAAGTGGGACTTCTAATCCTAGTTTTGAGAGGAATCTCCAAACAGATTTCCACAGTGTTTTCAACAATCTACATTCCCACCAACAGTGGAGTAGGGTTCCTTTTTTCCCACAGCCTTGCCAGCATTTGTTATTGGTAAATTTCTTGCTGATAGCCATTATTTCTGGGATGAGATGGAATCTCAGGGTTGTTTTAATTTGCAATTCTTGAATGACTAATGATGCAGAACATTTTTTCATGTATTTATTCACCATTAGTAATTCTTCACCTGAGAAGTGTGTATTCATCTCAAATGTACATTTTTGGATTGGGTCTTTCAATTTTGGGGGCCTGATTTTTTTAATTCTTTATATGTTCTAGATAGAAGTTCTTTGTCTGAGGGACAGTTGGCTAAAATTTTTTCCCAGTGCATGAGTTTTCTTTTTACTCTATTGATGATTTATTTTGATGTGCAAAAACTTTTCAATGAGATGAGATCCCAGTTGTTTATTTTTTGAAGTATTTCCCATGCAGTTTGTTTTTTGTTCATGAACTCTCTGCCTACCCCTATGCCTTTAAGGTTTTTACCTATGTTCTCTTCCAACAGTGTTTCTATTTTAATATTTAGATCAATGGAACAGACCTGAAGATCAATGGAACAGATTAGAAGATGCAGACACAACTTCAAACACACTCAGCCACCTTATCTTTGACAAAAGGGCCAAACATGTTCACTGGAAAAACAATAGCCTCTTTAATAAATGGTGCTGGAGAAACTGGCTTTCCATATGCTGAAGACTAAAATTAGACCCATGTCTTTCACCATGCACTACAGTCAAAATGGATCAAAGATCTAAATATTAAAATAGGATAGTTTTTCAGGGTACAAAGATCTGGATTGGAAGTTCTTTTCTTTCAGTACCTGAAATATTTCACTCCAGGCTCTTCTTGACTTGATGGATTGTGTTGAGAAATCTGCCATGATTGTGATGGGCTTTCCTTTATAGGTGATCTGTTTCTTTTCTCTAACAGCTTTTAATATTCTGATCTTTGGCTAAGTTTCTGGGATCTTGATCACTATATGTCTGGGTATAGATTTATTTTGGTTATGGTTGCTTGGAGTTCTATATGCTTCACTTATTTATATGTCTGATACTTTTCCTATGCCTGGGAAATTTTCTGCTCTTATTTCAGGAAATAGTCTTTTTTTTATTATTTTAAAGAGTAAAAGAAGGATAACATAATAATAGAGGGATTTACTGAATTACAGACAAAGTGGTAGGACATTATCAATGGTTGTTATTTTACCTGTTGGTCTCTTCAAGATAGTTTCTCAGGAAAACAAGTAAGACAAATAATAGTGAGCTACAGACAAAAACGGCAGGAAATTATCCATGGTAGTTATACTATAGCTTGGATTCTCCAAAGCAGTCTCTAGGGAATACAAATAGAGCTATACATGAATGATCAATCAAATAATCATTGACTATTCTCAGTGGTTGCTGTTGAAAACACATAGTAACAAACATACATCCATTTACTAAATAGCATAAGAACAATACAAACATTATGCAAATAGTCTTTTTATGTCGTTTGTGTTGGCACCTGCTGTTTCATTGATACCTATTAATCTTACATTGTTTTTCTTTGCTTCATCTTGCAGTTGTTAAATTATTTCCTGGTTCCTTGTTTTTAAGAGATCCTTCCTTTCATGTTTGTTAGTGGCAATGCTGTCTTAAAGGTCTGAAAGTCTATCTTCAGCTTCATTCACGTGGTTTTGCCAATTTTTGATGGAATTTTTAATTTCCTGGATATTTGTTTGAATCTGTTTCATGCATTCTAGTTGTGTTCTACATTGTTCACTCAAGGTTTCCATGAGTTTTCTGTGCTCTTCTATTTTGTTATCAATATCTTCTTTGGATGTGCTGAGCAATTCTTTCATTATTGTTGTCATTTCTTTTTTTACCTGAGAAATTATTTCTGATCTGATATCTTCTATGGCCTGACAGAGTTGTTTCTTTACTTCAGTTGCTATCATTTCAGAAATTTCAGGTGTGTGACTTCCAGGTTCTTCTGCGGTGATGTCTCCTGTATTTTTTCTGGGTGGTACAGAGGTCTGAGATTGCATTTTGCCCCTTCATTTTTGTCATTTTTGAAGATCTGGAGGTTCCCTGGAGCACAGCCTCACTCCCACAGTGGTGGGGGACTGGCAGGGTGAGGATTCAAAGATCCCCAGTGATCAGCGTGGCTCCTGTGCCAGTGTGTGGCAGCAAGGTGGGGTTCTAGATGCTCCCAAAACTTTCTTGCATTTAGTTGGCTCCCAGGCCAGTGGCAGAGGGGTGAGAGAGGCTCACTGGAGTTCCTGAAGCTCTCCAGGGCTCAGCCCAGCTTCCACAAGGGTGAAGGGGTGCAGGTCATGGTCACTGAGGCTTCAGAAATTGCCAGGACCCAGCCTGGTTCCCACACCTGCAGGGGAGGGCTGAGGGTGGTGTCCTTGAGGTCACTGACTCTGTCCACATTTCAACTCAGCTCCCCAGGGGTGTGGGTTGTACTGGGAGTGACCAGTGAGGCCTCAGAAGGAGTTCCGTGCTCCACCTGCCTCATACACTAATGGGGGAGGCATGGAGATGGCTCACCAGGGTCACTGAAGATGTCCAGTGTTCAGCCCAGCTCCCATGGGGATCTGGGGGCGCAGGGAGTGGCCCCTGAGGCCCCAGGAGGTGTCTGGGGCTCCACCTACCTCCCATGCTGTCCAGGGAGGCACAGGGGTGGCTCAGTGGGGTTCCTGAAGATGTCCAGCATTCAGCCCAGCACTAGGGGTGAAAGAAGCAGCCACCAAGGCCCCAAAAGGTGTCCAGGGCTCCACCTGCCTCACACACTGGTCAAGGAGGTGTGGGGCAGCTCACCAGGGTTCCTGAAGATGTCCGGGGTTCAGCCCAGTTCTCAAGGATGTTAGTGGTGTGGGGAGTGGCCACTGAGGCCCCAGAAGGTGTCTGGGGCTCTACATGTCTCACATACTGGTCAGGGAGGTGTGGAGGCAGCTCACCAGGGTTCCTGAAGATGTCCAGGGTTCAGCCCAGCTCCTGCTGAAAGCATGTATTTTATCACAATTGATCATCTTAATCATCCATGCATGAGTAATCTGATAATCCACTTTTTACCCCCTCCAAAAGTTGAAAATCTGGTTTTTCATGTGCCATTGTACTGAGTTGGGCTACTTCTTCAAAAAAAGAAATCAAAAGAAAATAATTTTTTAACAAATCCTGGAGTGGTGTGGGTCTACTGGCCCCTCTGTGATGCTCAGGTGAAAATACACAAAACAGTTCACCAGCACATAAAGGTGGGTCCAAATCTCATTTTGGCACCTTTGTACATGTTCACTCTCTTTGCCATATATCATATGAAGTGAGTAAACACATAGATTGCTTCCTGCATCTCTCAGAGAAAAGGTACTGAGACAGATAACTGGCTAGTGTAATGCTAAAGTACAAATTTACAGTAGAAAAGTAAGGGATGGGTCCATTGGACCCAGACTTGTGCTCCATTATTGCCTGCAGAAAGCCTGATGTGAAGACTAAATAAAGGCACATGGTGAAGAAAAGAGTAACGACCATTGGCTGGCTTGTCACAGTAACATTTGCCTTCCCAAAGTCACGATTTTGTGATAGGTCTTTACTGCAGTTAATTTTGTCAATTTGGGGCTGGGGATTTAGCTCAGCAGTACAGCGCCTGCCTGGCAAGCACAAGGTTGTGAGTTCGATTCCCAGTCCCAGAAAAAAAAAAAAAAAATTTTTGTCAATTTGCCAGGAGCTCTGTCTCTCTCAAAAGTATCATTGATATATAAAAATAATATGTAAATGTGTAACTACTGTTATGGCCTGATGTTAACATCTTCCAGAAATTCATATGTTGAAATGTAACCAAGATGATGTTTCCTGAATGTGACTAGTACCCTAATAACAGAGTTTGCCCCTTCCACCACATGAGGATACAGCAAGAAGGCTGCATCTCTGAGCATCCTGGCCTTCACCAAAC